GGCCAACACAGGGCTCCAGATAAGAAAAAACTGAAGAGAGTAATGCAATGCTAATTACATGAATTTTCAGGAGATACGTTCTTAGATTAGCTTAATTTTTAATTATAAGTTTATTGCTAATTAATAGCACAGATATAGTAGATTTTTATAAGGCAGTTGACTTGATGAAAAATGACATTTGATTAAGAAACTCAAAATCAACATGACACATCAAGTGAGTTAGGGACAGATAGGCCTCAAAACTTATTTGCAGATGAGGCTAAACGCTAAATAAATGTTTCCAGCTTGTACCAATTAAATATCAAAGCAAGAGAGAATGGGTTATTTTATCCCACCTCTGAGAGCCTGACCGGCTCTGTCTGTGCACCAGGGAAAAAAGAGAGTAAGATGATTACTGAACACATTTACAGATTACGGAGTGATGAAAACAAGGATGAGCAATAGAAAGGCATTTACTTTGCTTGGTAAAGAAGAGTCAAGCAAAGATCATAGTTTTTAATATGGCCAAATATAAGAAAACATATCTAACCTACACTTAGAGGCTGCTGGCTGTCCTGAAAGCAGGGATTCTAAAAGGTCATTGTAGAAGAACATTCAAAAGGAGCTTCAGGGAGATACTGTCAGTAAACAGGACTACGGTGATAATTTTACTTTCAAATTTGCTCCAAAGCTAAAATTACACAAGCAAGGCTTAACCAGAAAAACAGCACACAACAGATGGCAGCAGATAGGACCCGATGCTGCACAGAAGACAACAGAGGGCCTGGGGGTGGCACAGGCAATAATCCAGAATGTGAGCCACAGAGGTCTCTGCCCTCACTCCCTCTTGGCTTTAAAACAAGCATTGGAGGTTCCAGTTCCCTACACTTTTCCCTATAGTACACATATACAAATGGAAACAGAAACGTTTAAAAAAAACCAAGAACCCACAAAAACAACAACAAAGTCCATATCAGCTCTTCACAGGAGATGCGCAGCTGAAGAACATGCTGTTCTGTGTGGGCTGGGAATCAACCTAAACCAAAGGAGAATGAGACAGCACGGATGGGATGACTGGGCTGAAGACGTGGAGACACAGTACATCTGAGCAAAGGCAAGACTTCAGAAACAACCAAGACAGTCCCCCAATGAAATACTACCAATAGCATAGGCAGCACATTTCCCTTTAAAATACAAAAGCTTCTAAAATGCCAGTTGCTTCAGTGTCCGCCCAGTCTGGGAAAAGAAGTGGAACTGGCATGGGAAGCATACAGCACAAGACACAATAGCCAAAGAACAACCACCCTTGTGTGCTTCGATACATCGCAAGTTACTGTCACCCAGCCACTGCCACTGGCAAATTCCCTGCCACACACAGCCTTTGATCCCCACTCTGTTAAAACAACAACCCTCTGCCCCCAAAGCTACCAAGATGGAAGGAAGCAGTTGTGCTTCTCCCATCCAAGCAGGCTGTTAGACGGGGTGAAATTCAGACACCTGAGAGACAGGGAGGAAGCAGCATGATGGTGTGCCTCGCAGGTCTCATCACACACATACACCCAAGCTCTCCCGCTTCTTCCCTTTGTACAACGTTTTGCAGATAATGCACAGAATTAACATTTCCTTTTTCTGAAAGAAATCTTAAAAAGCCTTACTTAAGAGGAGCTGCTTGCACATGGTACAACAAGATGTTCTGCTGTCATCAAAGGAACAAAATTCCACCATAAGTTACACAGCTTTTTTCATCTGATTTATTGAAGTATCATTCAGCACTCCGCTGTTCTTCACCTGTTACAAACCCACCCGGCTGCTGACAGCCCCACGGCAGGACCTGAGACACACCAGAGCGTGTATTGCTTTGGTGTGGTCATAAAAATATGAAAAGGAAAAGAATAAAGAAGCCTCAGACAAGTTGCCTGGGATCTCTTTATATCAACAGCACAGCTCCATGGTGCTCTTTCACCCAAACCATCCACCTTTATCCATTACAGAAAGCACTTAATACATCACGCATCAGCTAAACAATGGAAGGCCCGAAACAGTGACCGAGGGAACGTGTGAGATGCACACAGACACGACAAAGCTGGGAGCTGTACATGAGCCTCCAGACTCCTGGACTTTAACACTTCTGTTTGAGCCAGGGGAGTTACACAGCGCTGGGATGGATGGAGCTGCAGCATTGCTGGGCCAGGAGGAGATTCCTTGGGTCCCACCCTGCGGCCATTCTCAGCAGCGGCTACAGATAACCACATCCAACAGTTCACTACAATTTCAGCCACTTTCAAACCAACGTTATGTCTGTAGCTGTGATTAACCAGCAGTTCCAACACTTTCCGTAGCAGAAATCACCCTTCTGTTAGGAAGAGTTGTGTACCATGACAGAGCCACCTAGAATCTCCAACCCAGGTTTGTCTAAATGCAGCCCATGAGCAGGGCTGCAGCGACGTTGTGGTTTTCCTGTTACCACCTGCCTCCCTCCAACATCAATGTGCTTCAGAGTCCGAAGGGACACTCAAACAAAGCCAGAGGGACAGGCAGGAATCAATGGCAAAACAAAAACAAACAGCTTTCAAATGGTTTCAGACTCTTTAAAAGCATGGAGTTCTTATTTTTAGACTGCATACAAGTCTAGCTCAAGGTGCTTTTTCCTTCATCCCCATGACAGTAGTTAAGTGAATACACCTGCCTCGCCTCCCTCCGTTCTGATGGTAAACAGAAGGTCTTGCATTTAGGGCACAACGTGGAATACTTCAGAGCAGCCCTGTGCCAAAATGGCACATTTCTGAGAGATGCAAAGGTATTCAATAAAAAGCTTTTAAAGGCATATTTTTAAACTTGCAGCAGGAAAGCTTTTCTGTGTCAAGACAGTAATTCTTTTAACAGCATTGATCAAAATGTCATTCTTTTATGAGTGTACAATACCTTTTAATGGCATACAACAAGCCATTAGGGTTATACACCTCCGCATGGCAGACAGCTTACTGGAAAAATGGGAACACCGGCCAAGAGACAGCCACCGGCCCTCGTGCTTCTAAGAAGGCAGCTTCCTTCATTTACCCAGCTCTATTTCACTCCACAAATGAAACGATCTCCAAATTAAGCCGAACTTCTCATCTCTTCCACCAAACAGTTATTTTCACTGTAACCTACTTACTTTCTCCTAAGAAATACCTTCTAAAAATGCAATGAATATTCCGGTTTTCTAAAATGGAATTTTATCACCAAGGTCACATCCACTTCTTTCTTCTCTCTGGCAATCGTACTTATCCCCAGATCAGCACTGACTGAGGAATCAAAGGTGGTTGAATTGCACATAATGGTTTTGATTCTCAGAAACAGGAAAAAGAAACCACACGCCCTTTCCTTACACTGAGGCTTGGGACAGAATCTGTCTACAAATCATCCAATTCTTTTCAAGTGCACCAACCCTTCAGAAAGGGTAAGAGTGCTGGTGATTGCATTTGCTCTGCTTGAATGGAAGACAAGCGTGGGCTCACTAAATGCATTCAGCAGTGCTTTACAGCCTTATTTTAGTTACCAGCAGGAAAGGGAATGATTTTTTATTAATCCACCTTCAAGGGTTTTTACTGTAAGGGTGGGAAAATAAGTATGGGATTTAATCATCTATGTTAATTGAGCTGTGGCTGCACCAAACAAACTTTATTTCACTCCTGGAAATATGTATGGATAGTAGCACTTCTCAGCTGTTCTTGAGAGCGCACACCTGAGACACTGGTATAAGCAAATGAAGAACAGTTTCTGATTAAAACTTGGGGAAAGCTGATGAGAAACAGAAAACAGAAGAAATTTGAAGCTATGTAAAGCAAAAGCTGGAGCGAATTTAATTTAATCTCAATTAAGAAAAGTTTACGGGGCTGCTGGTTTCTCTTTCATCTCTTCGGTTCAGAAACACGAAGCGCTGCTGTGCCCTGCTGCCACCACTCCGCCCTCACCGCCATCACGTGCAGAGATACGAGAGCTGGGTTTTTCACACCATCTTCAAACAGGCATAAAGTCAGTCGAAAACAATTTACACTCTGTAAGATGCCGTTATCTCAGAGGTACCACAAAGCTGACTGCGCTTATATCTGCCCTGCATTCATTAATAAGCAGAGCCGAATACAAAGAGGCGTCTCCAGGGAGCTCCCGGGTCACCCAGAAAGAGCGTGACCGTGCGATGGTGATCGGGACCAAAACCCAAGCAGAACCACACACGAGAGCTGCACACACCCAGCACACGTACAACAACGCTGTGCTCAGACAGCAGACGGGTCGCGTTCTGATGAAGGCGATGCTAAGAGCCGAGCTGCAAAACCGCCATCACAGCGTGCGGATGAGGACGGCAGACGATGGCTGGATGGGGGCTGGATGGGGGCTGCGCTGCCCCGCGAGCAGCGCTGAGCACCGCGTGCTCTTACCGCCGTGTTTATCGCCCCTGTCCAAGCCTTCCCCGCGCCATTCCTCACGCAGTCAGCGATGTAACTTGTAAAAGAAAGCTTAGGATCTTTTCTGGAAGGCAACGTAGCCAGGAATATACAAGATGGCTCAAGCAAGCCGCACCTGCTTTGTGCTTAGCAGGGGTCGGTTTCTCACTACCACGTGCCATTAATCAGAGCTGCTCTTTCAGCTGCTGTCCAGAGAGCGAACGCGTGTCCAGAGCGCGTGTTTGAGACAAACAGCGCGCCGGGTCATTAGATGGGCATTAACTCCTGCACGGCACCTTGGGGTGCAGATTAATTCCTTGTGGAATTACACAAAACGGTATGCAATAAGCACTGCCGCAGGATAAAGTAACCGCCATCCCGGGCACCAAAGACCCGTCCCTCCTCTCGCTCCCGACGCCGCCAGCCCGGCTCCAGCGCGGCGCGCGGACCCCGCAGCTGAAGGAGCCGCCCCTGTTTGGCGGCGCCCCCGCCCAATCCCGGAGAGGGCGACGCGAAGCCCCGCCCCGCGGCACCAGGAAACCAATCAGCACTCAGTAAGGGTAGGGGCTTCCCGCCCGCAAGTCCTCACGAACCCACCGGTTCCGGACGTGTTGACTGACGTGAGCGTCGCCCAACAGAAGCTCGGCCGCCATCTCTCGCGGTCGGCGATTGGGCGTCGGAGCGGAGGGCTGCCGGCGAAGCTCGGGGGACGCGGACGGAGCGCCGGTTGGCATGGCGACGGGCCGTGTGCGCCCGGCGTCCCGCTCCCATGGGCCGCAGCTCCCGGCTCGGTGGGCGCGGGGCCTTTGGGAGCTTTGCTCAATGCTGAGCGTCCTTCTACACGGCGCGTTGCTGCCGTGGCGGAGAGCAACGCAACCGCGGCCCTCGGGGCGGCTCCTCCCGCGGCCTGCAGCGAAGCGCCGCGTGGCCGGGCTCGCGGCCGTCCCGGGGCTGGGAGGGCGGCTGAGGCCGGACGCGCGTCTGACCGCAGCCGGGGGAGCGCGCGGCGGCAGGAGGGCCGGGCTGCTCTGTGGCAGCTGGTTTCAGCAATGGGAAGGCGGAGGACGTGGCACGAACGCAGCTGGAGAGCAGGCGAGGTTTGGGGCTGGGGAACCTGCGTGACTCTATTTAGGAGGCCGCGTAGAAAAGCCAGTTACCAGAGGGGAACAAGAACGTAACTTACAGACAAGTGCTAAATCGTAGGAAACAAGTGAGCTCCCTACAAGGCTGCCCCAGCACTCCTGGTAGAGAAGCAGGAACGAATCGAGCTTAGTGGGATCCTAAAGGTATGAATAACGATGCTGCAGTTCCTTCCGGCCGTAGCTCGTCGTTAGCAGGAAGCTCTGCTGGGCTGGGATGTGCATGTAGTGATGGAGCTGGGAAACAAAGTGAGAAAAAAGCACTGTGGTCTGAAGAAGAAAAGCGATGGAAATTCACTTCCTTTTCCTTCTTCAGATCTGAAGTATGACAGCAAACCGTGAGAATGCCTGGAACTTTGTATTTTCTTTGTAGAGAAATGAAAAACAGTTTTGTAATAAAAATGTAATATCCTTTTTGGGGCTTCATAGTTAAAGGAGCTTTATAAACTATTTGTGCATGCATACTAACCCTGTGCTAATCCCACTGACCTCAAGCACACGAGATGCTTATGAAATAACAGGACAGTTCCTACTGCACGAGATGTCTGTTTATGGAGCTCATCAGAAGGCCAAGCAAAAGAACCGTACGTGGTGGACCATCACCAGCACTGCAAGAAAAGAATCTAACAAAACCATATAAAAAAAAAAGCTCACCTGGAAAATATTGCTGTACAATAAGCAAGTACATCAGTGAAATACAAGATATTGTATGCATAGGGTAATAGTGTAGTTCAGTACTAGGAATGGGCATCCAGTTCCTGATTCTTTTCCATCTAGGATATCACTTTAATGTGTGAAGTCCAGCAATACAGAAAGAAAACAGGAGTATGGTGGGGATTAGAGTACAGTTATGCCACTGCTGAGCACTAGTCATTACAATAAAACTGCAGAATAATTGCTACTGCACAGTTATTTTCCTATTGCTCATAACTTTTCAAAAACTTTCCCACCAGAAACTTTCATATCTTGAAAATGTATTTAGAATGTTTTGATATTCTTTCAGCTGAATTGTTCAAGGGTCAAAAACTTGAAATTAGGCACAGCAGTGATCCACCCCAAAATGCAAAACCTTCCTCTATATAGTTTGGCTTTAATTTGCCATTCACGAGCGCATGAAATTCAGGCTGTCTTTAATAAGCTGACTAAGTCAGGGACATCTGCTGCTATTTGTAGTTGATGTAACTAATGCCTCAGTCAGGAAAAATTCTTTTCTTTCTCTTTCAAGGACACATTGATTTGACCAAGTCTGCAGAAATGCACCATGGGCACATCCTGCTCTGGTCACCCCTGCCTGATGTCAGACCTTTGGTGGCCAACCTAGTGTAAGGAAGTTCACTATGGACCAGCTCCCAGTTTATTTGATTGTGACTAATAGACTAAGCCCCATCACAGTTTGGAATTGAGCCAAGGCCTGAAACCGAAATTGCTGCCTAGTAAGTGATTTGCTCCAGTCACTGAATCCACAGACTTCCTCCATTCTCATCCTTCTAGACCTATAGTCTTGACAATGTTAATAAAATAGACCCTTACCAAGGAGAAGTGGCAGGAGGCCAGGACGATACATCAAGCTATCTTTCCTGGAGAGAGTCATCCAGCAAGTTCCTACAGGCACTGCTCCTCTGCCTTTTTGCCAGTCCCTCCTCAGCAGAGCCTCAGTGGTTCTGCAGTAACCACAGCAACCTGCCATGTGAGCTGGTGATACAGACCCACCTGTCAGCAATCATCAGGTGATGCACAATGCTGGCTTATTGCCACATGTGCATGACTCCACTGCCACAATATGCCCTCATTGATGCATAACGAGCTTGCAGGTGTGGGGACCAGCTGGCCAGACCTCAAGCAGAGTGCTGACAGGTGGCAAAAAGTACACTGAAGCAGGTCCACTTCCCTTCTGCTCCCCCACGTTGGAGGCAGAACCATCTCCGGACAATGCAGAGCTGTACCTGAGGCATGTGCTGGGAATTGTTGCTAGCCCTAGGCTCTCCAGGAGCAGCTCAAGCAGCAAAACTCCTGGTCTTGGTGCCAAAGGAGCTTCACCCATTATGATGTGTTTGAACCCTGCTGCTGAGCTTAATAATCAAGCATCCCCTGTGGTCAGACTACAGGTGGAGCGCTCCCTGCTGTGACAGCTTCACACACACGGGCCATAATAACATGGGCCCACAGCAGGAAAGGTGCAGGACTGCAAAGTGTGCAAGGCTCGACTCACATGGTGGCCAGGAGAGCATTGAATCTGCAGGCTGGCAGCACGCATGCAGGTGGGGGCAAGGGACTGGGTTGTGCAGGATAAGCAGGTCTGACAGAGCTTAAGTCAGATCAGGAGGGGCCTTATTTGGAGCACTTGTCCCTCCACACCATCTATCTTTAGTATTCCAGAATCTTTCTGGTTTCCATTTTGAACAAAATCCCCTCAAACTCCATTAGAAAAATACTTCATTAGAAGAGTAACAGAGTTGCACTGTTAAACACTCACAATGAGAAATACTATGAAGTCAGGACTGTACACATAGCCCTTAACTCTACCCCTTGCACGTCTGCATAGTTACAAGAGGAGTGATTCCTCACACAATAGTTTGTAGTCTTTTCAATCTTTTCTATAACCTTGTTCACGTGACACCTTGTAGCACACTCTGTCACGGCAATGCAGCCCAGACAAAGAGTCCATTAAAGTAATTTATATGAGAAATATGCAGTAAATCACAATTAGACAACATGCAACTTGTGAAGTAAAATAACAGAATAATAGTGAGGGTAGGTTTATACAGCCATGATTTTAGAATTAGACTACCACATTAACCACTTTAGTGCCAATAGCACCGACTTACATTTCCAGATGTTTTGAAAGCAGTGGCCCTAGAGAAGAAGGGAAGTGCTCCCCTTGCTTGTCTCCAGGGTGAGCCCTTGGGCGCTGCAGATGGGCAATGGCTGCTGGAGCAGTCTGGGGGGAGCAGTGGGGTGCCACATGCTAGCAAGCACTGCACAGGAAGCAACAGAGTGAAGAGCACCTGGATCACAGGATGCACCTGCGTGGAGAGAGAACCCTGTGAATTATAAACGAGACCTGCACAACATCCCCTGTCAGGCTTTCTCAAAGGTCTCCTTCCACTCTGCTATCTACAGTGAACCAACTCTTTTTTGTTTGAAAGACTCCACATCATTTTCTCTTCTAGCCTGCCACCTGTTTGTTCTCAGGCTGAAATCTGCTTTGCAGAGCACCCAAAAAGCTGCTGAAACACTACAAATGCCCTCACGGGGGACAGAGAAATGCTTCTGCAGCACTGGGGCTCCTCAAGGCTCAGTCTGAGCTCTCGGGTCCCCAGCCAGCTCCATGACAGCGTGACCTTGGGGCAGCTTTCTGCAGAGGTAGCCAGAAGTAACTCCATCGCCTTCCATGCTCTAGCGTTTGGGGTAAGATAGAAAGTTGTAATTTCAAGCATTGAAATGATTCTTTTTATTTCCCTTCTGCTTCCTGGGGAGCGGTGGCATGAAGAAGAGCATTTGCTGTGATTCCTACGAGGTGTGAGACAGTAACTAATTACTGGGGAAGATGAGATACAGCTCTGTGATTCTCTGGAATATCTGCTAAGCCTCAGGACAGTTTGTATATGTTCGAGCCCCTCCTTGCAAAGAAAAGATAAACACAATGAAAGGCAGCAAGCAAGCAAGCAGCAGCTCTGAGTAGTAACCGGTCTCAGAGTTAATCCAGAACCTGGTAAATAAAGCTGCAGACAGTTAATAAATTAGACGAATAAAGCCTAGAAATAATATTTTACAGTAGGATTGGTTCATCTAGAGGGTACCTGGTGAACTCATAGGAAACGTGTGGAGAGAGGTAAAAAAGACACTAAATTACCTTCAGCTCTTTAAATTATTTCTACAGATCCTACTGCAGGAGAGAAAGGAGAAATGGCTGCAGAACAAATCATATGAATTCCTGCATCTAACAGTCCAACAGTCCCTTAAAAAAAAAAAGGGAGAGAGAAAATGTTAGCATGTGGGGGAAGCAATAAAAGACACATTCGCATCCCATCCATCACCATGTCATCTTCAGATGCACGCAAATATTGCTCAGCAGTGCAGAGGACAGGTGAGGATTACCACAGCCCTGCACCAGGGCACCCAGCACAGTCGGCAGCAACCTCGGCTGGCCGGGGCCAGGTGGGTGTGCAGGTGGTGCTCCTGTATGCGGATTGATGTTTGTTTGAGCACAAAGATTTCTAAGTCCTGAGATACAACATCTCCTTATCTCCTCATTGTCTCATCTGCTTGATCTGCCATTACAGAGACTGGCTTAGTAAGACGTGCTGTGTGCAGGCAAGCACTGATAACCAAGAGCAGGGCCTAGGTGCGTACGTAATGTCCTCAGAACTAATTGCTTCGGCAAATGAAGCAGAGCTTGGGGACCCTCCTCCTGCTTCTCATCAGCGGTGAGTTGAGTGGCAGCACCTGGCGCTCCTCTGCACACCTGGACCCGTGAGGAGTGGCCACAAGACCCCCTGCAGTGTGAATGGGCACTGCATGCAATTAACATAAGCTACAGACCTAAATGAGGGTGCTTGAAAATGAACACATTCTTAGGAGTCAGTAGCTGTTACCTGGGCTTAGACACAGGAATGAGAACAGCTTGAGCAGCAGCTGCTCTGATGTGACAGTTCTGAGTACTGAGGCTGGGCTGCATACGGTTACAGTCAGCACACTGGCCTCAAAGTGTAAGAGAGGACAGTGCATGTGCCTAAACTGTTGGCTAATACACATCTACCCTGACCCAGAAGCATCCAATTACTACATTTTAATCCCAAAATACCAGGCATGAATATTCAGCCACTGTGGGTTCAAAGCTGCCTGCAGGACATCGCTGTCCTCTGGAAAGCCGTGGCCCTGGGCGAGAAGCACAAAGGCACTGCGATAGCAGCCAGAAAAAGGATCCTCTGTTGCACCAGTTCTTCCAGCGCCTGCATTTCCAGTCAGGAGCTGTGCGTATCCCCAGACTGTACTGGTGCCTCACTGTAAAATTTTTTATGAGAGTGATTTACAGCTCCTTGGAATTATATTGCTTCTCAATGTCATGTCCTGCTTCACAGGACACTGATGCTCCTGCCTTATTCCTATGGTTATCTCTCAGGTCTTCAGCAGTTTAACTGTATGTCCAGTGCAATAGACAAAGTGATCCACCTTCACCTGCATCTCTCACACTCGCACGCTCCTGCAATTGCCTTTGGAAAATAATTACAGCGCAGAAGCGGATCCTGTTAGATTAAGACAAATTAAGAACCTAATATATAGGTTTGCTGTCAGGTTGCCAGGGTCAGGGGTCGATACAGTATATTGCAATGAGGCTATAGGTTACCTCTGCCCCAATATTTTATCATAATAAACCAAATGGGGATGAAACACCCAGCAGTAGCCCATAAATCTATTAGCTGTGAACTGTCAATGTCCCATATACCAGGGTAATTTGTTAATTCAGAGCTGGGTCTCTTTTTTCACTAGACCTTGTAAACTCCTTTCTGAAACATCAATAAACCATCTGCTTTGACTTGTTAATCAAACGACTTTATTCAGTCCAAAGCAATTTTTTCCTAATAAAAACAGAGTATTTATCTCCATGGCTATAAAAGAGGATTGTTTTCAACTGTTCACTTATAGTTAAGAAGCACATTTAGTTTGGATTGATTTCCAATGCTTCGGTCATATCTTGTCACTTCCCATCTCTTACACACAGCATCTCAGTTTAGCTCCTCAGCAGGGAAAGCACAACCTGACCCAGTGCTGCAAGTGGCACTAGAGGAACATGAGCAAACAGCGAAAAAGGTCATGGAAATCAAACTTTAAAAATCTAAACACACGTGGCAGCCCATAGTGATGCTATCCACAGTGCTCCTTGTTCCCGCTGGCTTTTGGGTTGCCCCTAGCTTTCTCCTAGTCTCCGAGCAGACTTTCCTGTGACTGTACCCCTCTTGGCAGTGATGTTTTCATTTCCCCAGTCAGCCCAGGCCCTTTTGGTGACGTTTTTGCCAGCAAAAATGGAGTGAGAGCCCCTGTGGCCACATCTCTTCTGCAGCTGATGGGGAGCAGTGCTGCACAAGGGCTGAGGTTGGTGCTGGTCTCTTTGTACTACACTGACAGCAGATCCAGGAGCACTGACTGCTCAACTGCAGACAGCACTCATATATGAATTCACCCCTTCATTCTCCTCTCTCAGAAGAGTGGGAGTAGGTGGAATCCATTAGGACACTGTTACTGAAGCATGCAATTCCGTCATGCAGCTCAGAGGGGGAGATAATGGGCAGAAGACCTGGGAATGGGGAGAGGATGCATCAAGGAAGGAGGCATATGTGTGTGAGGTTGTTCTGTCCTCCAGCAGTGTCACAGCTGCAGCACTCGCTGCACAGCCCTTGGCCCCCTGCAGAGGTGCTCCTTCTATATCACTTCCTTGAGCCCTCCCAGTCCTTGTTCATGGCTCTGGAAGCCTTTGCACAGCTCTTAGAGGCCACCACAACTCAAAAAGAAGGTGTTTTGCAGGTTCCTCTTCTCTTTGTGCTCAGCACAAGTGAGATGTCCCTGTCCTCATCCCATCTCTGTGCCAACTGCTCACCCGTCTGCCAGTCATGCTCCATCCCACACCGGGTCAGTGCCAGGAGCGGAGGAGGCTGGGGAGCACCTGAAGGCTCCTTGTGGCCACAACAGAGCTTCTTCACCACCAGCCCCATCCTGTCTGCGTGGCACCGGCAGCATCCTGCACTTCTCATAAGGGCTGCTGCACACAGGAGCTGCATGCAGCTCAGGGAAGCAAGGGCTGAGATTACTCCTGGGCAGAAAACATGCATATTTGCAGATGATTTTCAGAGTTTTCATAGTTTCTGGTGTTCTACCTCCAGCAAGTCCCACAGAAGGGCCTCGTGGTGCTCTGCCGCCCTTGCTGAGGAGCTCTGCATCTCTGCAGCTGTCCTCTCCCAGCAGCTTTGAGGAACCGGTGGAAGCCCCTGCTATTCCATCCTGAGCCTAACCAGAGCCGCCTGTCAAGTGCCTTCTGCTGCAGACTGAGAAGTCCCAGATCCTCCTAATGTTCCCCACGAATCTCGCACTGAGCGGTGGTGGTTTCTGTGAGTCAAGCTCTGAGCAGCAGCACTGCTCTGCATGCAGGCCCTCTGCCAGTGTTGGTGCAGCTTCATCCCCTCGCCCAGCCAGGCAGTGCCGTCTCAAGGCCTCAGGTCTGATGCTGGGGTGGTAAGCAGCCCTGAATGCACGCTGTGAAAACCGCAGCCACCTCAGCACAGCTCCGCTCCTTCGTGTGCCACCGAACGTGCGAGGAACGTCCCCGTGAGGCACCGAGGCCGCTGTGCTCCCTGCGGGCTCAGCCTCCGCCATGGCGCCCATGCAATGCAATGAGCCCCCGTGCCACAGCCCTCGGAGCCCTGCGTGGCCCCACATGTGGCTGTGGGTCAACACCCGCGGGGACACAGCCGAGAGCCGTGTAGGCGTCGCCCGGTGCTGCTGGGAGCACGCCGGCTGCAGCCACGGCCAACTCGCCCAGGGTGGGGCGGCTGCAGCGCCGGGTCCCTGCGGTGCTGGGGGGTTTGCAGCAGCCACGTGCTCTCCTCAGAATGTGCAAATCA